GGTTGCAACCTTAAACAATCAAAGTAAGATACCTTCAAACTATTTTATTAGATGTAATTTTGGTGTAAAATTTTTAGGATGGCTCGAGAATCTATATTCATCTCTAATTATAGAATTTTAAAATTAAAAAAAATAGTTCAATCAAGTAGATCTATAAACAAATGAAAATTTTAAAAATAGATAGTCCAAATAATGTATTGCAAAATGTACTATTTTTAGAACTGAATTTTTTTTATGTATCTTTATATCCATAGATCTCAATGCCGAGATGATTAATTAGCGGTTTTCCAACATCAAAAAAGCCGTCCTCCATAGATTTTTGGGGTGAGCCTTAATTCTAAAATTTAAAGCTTCAACCTTATATAAACTTTTCTTTTAGTATTTTTTTTTTTGAAGAACTGGGTGAGCTTATGGGGCCCACTCAATTGGGCCCACACTATGGATTGATACCTATGTGGCTTCCACTGCCTTGGAAAGCAAAGAAGATGGACACGTGACATACATCGAACGTGGCATTCATCTAACGGTGGAGGAGTAGGAGAAGGCCAGCCAATAGGACGTGTCTTGGACCCAAGGTTAGGAATCTCCAATCATTTCACTCCAGCTAAGCTTACTTCGATAAAAAAATGTGCTTTTTTGTTGGAATCGCAGAATTGCACTAACCTTTCTTGTAATTGGGTTTGAGAGGATATCCTCTATGGAAAACATAGGCATATATTTTATTGAAAATATCTTCATTCTTTAAGCACTTCCAGTTTTATAAATTAGCTCGCACATTCCCTTGGAAGTTTGCTGGGCACGGCAAAGAGATGCAAAGCGAAGAAAAGCAATGGAAAAATAGAAGACTTGAGACGAACATACAAGTCAGTATAAAGGGAAAATGAGAGAAAAGACAGGATTTTTTTTTGTTTAACGTAAAGTGGCAATTTTATTTGTCGAAATTGGGTGTGGTTTGTATAAGGTTGATGCCCTGAACAATCAAAATAAGGTGCACTTTGAAATAGTATTGAAAGATGTTATTTCAGTACTAGAAATCTTATTAATAGTCTAAAAATTAAATAAATAAAAAATTTATAAAAAATTTATAAAAATTTATAAAAAATTTATAAAAATTTATAAAAAATTTATAAAAAATTTATAAAAAATTTTCATATCTAATTATAAAATTTAATAAATAAAAAATAGTGTAGATTGAGTAGATCTATGAACACTTGATAATCATGAAATTGATGGTCCAGAAAATGTATTATAAGATGCACTATTTTCAATATTTGAAATCCAAATTTTCTCATATTCATACATCTTGTGGTCTAGATGATCGATTTGAGGATTTTTGGTCATCGAAACAACTTCTAGTGAATTTTTGAGGTATGCTTTAATTTGATTGTTTAGAGCTTCGCCCTTATATAAACGTTTTTTTTGTAGAAATAAAGCTGCAGTTTTCTATACTATTTATTTTATTTGGATGGTTTAGATATGATATTATCATAAAAAACATATCATATTTTAATATTATTTTAAATAATATATTAAATCTACATTATTTAACTAAAATAAATGGTGTAGAATAGTACAAACTTAATTCTACTAATAAAGTTGCCACCTTATATAAACTGCATACAAATAATAGTACTATTTGATTAGTAATAGAGAAATATGAGGAAATAATGATGGTTTTAGGGTCCAACAAAGCCAATTCACATAGGGTTAAGATCCTAAACCTCGTGTATAAACCTTAAATAAAATCACCATGGCCAAAAGCCAAAGCAAATGTATGAATTTCAAGTACAAATTTTGACTCACGGCCTCTGCCAATCCTTCATAATCATTTCCCTTGATTTTCTTGAGAATCAATGCGACTTTGCTGACTATAAAGTTGAGCCGAAGTGCTGTTAGAGTTGTTATCTGAACCATATTCATAGCAACAACTTTCAAGAATGAGGAAGCTGCAATTGAGTGAGAAATCGTTGAACACAAATTTTGCTCTATTGTTTGTGAGCATGGTAATTGCTAGATCTTGAATCTTGATGAATGGCCTGGGGCCTTGGTGGTAGTATTGTTGAGCTCTATGGTGAAATCTTTGACTCTATTCTCACCAAAGTGTAGGGGCCCAAATCTCTACGGACTTACCACTTTTTTTACCCAAAAAAAAGATCTTGAATCTTAACCTTTTTTTTCTTGTAAACGAACAAGGGGTTTTGAACATTGATTTCTCATAAATAATTTTCACTTGGTTCTACTAGACTCCAAGGCACA